AAAAGCACCGCATATAGTGCTCGAACCACTGCGTATAATTGCAAAAGCACCGCGTATATAAATGGTGAAAGCACCGCGTATAACGCTGGAACCACAGCGTATAATGCGGGAACCACCGCGTATAATGGCGAAAGCACCGCTGTATAATGCTAAAAGCACCCAACAAAATGCCGTTTGATCACTTTAAGCCAGCTATGGCTTTCCATAAAAGAAGACCAAAGATGAAAGATGATCACATTGCCTGTTTGCCTTATGCTTGACCGCGCTGCACCACGGTTAAAATTCACTGGTACCGTCATGCAATGCGCCAAATAGAAAATTTTGATATCGACCCACAAAACAAAATTAGGATCTGCTGCCTTGCTCGCTTGCTTCAGGCTCGCTCGCTGCGGCAGCAAAAATAAAGATGTACAGTGCATTGCTCTGTACAGTGATGAAAAAATTATTAATAAAAAACAAAGTTCAAAGACTGAAATGAACTTGCGAATTTTGTTGCGAAGTTCGCGCCCAATTTTCGAACTTGGAAACGTAAAGGTCCAGACACACCGGACGCGATTCGACAACGTCACAACGCGACGCGATTTTTTAGTTTTTGAAAGTTAATAAAACAGCCAATGAGAGCAAATTTTGAAAGATATGTAGACCAAATAACTCAAAATGTTATAGCGCTTTTAAATATTTGGAAAATTTAAACTAGGATCAAAGTTATCGGTCAGTGAAAATCGAAAAATCGCGTCGCGTTGTCGAATCGCGTCCAGTGTGTATGGACCTTTATTGTCAAGTTCGCAACGAACTTGGGAACTGCGCGTTGAAAAGTGACTTGAAATCGACAATATTACTGCAACGAAATTAGAATATGCAAGTATTGCAAGCGAACAAGAACTTAGCTACGAAGTGGAACAGTGGCTCCGGCAAAGTCCGGTATAAAGTGATATATTATACAAGAGGAAAACTCTTGCTTGTCGATATTTGGTACCACAATTTTTTCTACTATACAAACGGAATACCGTGATCATGAAGTTTACTATTCCGTCAGGCATTTTAGTATATTCGGAATAGCGGAATAGCGTGAATTTCGACCCCTGTATAGTTACCACATCATGCATAATTCGAACCACTCTATATCCCATAGAGCGAACGTGACTATATGCTATAACTGAGACTGGCTAACATTTTTTTAGAAATTTACTAGTTTCATAGTTAATTTGTAATGTAACTTTAAACTTCTGTAATATAGAATTATAAATTGTAATGTAATTTTAAACTTCTGTAAATATAGAATAACTAATTTTAATCATTTCTCTTGTAAAATTTAGCACGCAATTCAGCCTTATTGGCTGCTATGTGTTAATCTTATTAAACAAACAATCTATCTATCTATCTATCTATAACCCTTTACCAATAACCTAATTCAAATACGTTATAGTGATTCAGAAGCAACTGTTTTTAATTTTGCCATTGGGTGTTGTAACACTCGTGATCTTTTATTTAATTCAAGGCACTCTTTATCCCATAGAGCACACGCGGCAGTGCTGTAACCCTTTACCAAACAGGGTTCTATACCAAAAACCGATCCATTAATGTTTTTCGACGAAAACAGCTGATAATAATAGTTTAGGGCTATTCTCGTTGAGTTTTTCATTACTTTAAGTCTTTCATTACTTGCGCAATTTCTTCTTTTTATCCTTCCAGTAGCCACCTATAAATTTCCATAATTCTTTCTTACGTTTCTGCCCTTCTTGCGACCTGTCTGGGGTCTGCGATAGCTGCAGAGTGGGGCGTGCAACAGGCGTGCTACGGTCTTGTGAAACTGTTACGTTCATAATTCTGTCAATAATATGCTTGGACGAACACGGTAAATCTTCACAGTTCGTTTCATCAATTAAAGTTTGAGATGTTACAGTCTCAACATCTGTAACATCTGTGGCATTTGTAACACCTGTGGCAGCACCAATACGTGAAGCATCTGCTACATATAAACTTCGATTCTCTAGACAACTTTGACTATAATCACTCATTGTGAGGTCAAACACTTGGCGAGCGGTATCATTCTGACCTAACAACATGTGTGGCGAGACATTTGATGATTGCGTGGAACTGGGTGTTTCTGAAGTAGTAACATCCGAAGTCCGTATATCATTAACATGACGAGACTGGCTCTGGGTTTCTGAATGAGTAACGTCCAAAGTTGGCACATCTTGATGTGGTTCATTGTCTCCATCGGTAGAGTGCGAATTTGAATCACAAAATGGGGCGCACTTGGTATGTGCTTGGTGCAACATTTCTAATAGATCTGAGATCTCTAAATCTTCCGTGTTCTCAAGAGGCCAGTAGTTTCGACATAATTCAATTAAATCAGCCTTGTTCAAGTTTGCGAGATTCATATCCAATGATGTGCTTTGAAGACCAGCTGTATCAATTTCCGAAGTCACCACTTCATCATGAGATCGAGTTGGCCATGAACAAACAGCAAGCTTCAGGTCATCCGAAGTTGGCATTTGGATGGCCTGACTAGTTTCCAAATCTCCGCTGGAAGATTGAGTTTCAGCACTGAATGGTGCATACTTTATGTGCGCTTGGTGTATGCGATCTAACAAGCCTTGTACTTCTAGATCGTCACTGTTTTCAAGTGGCTCGTAGTTCCGACATAACTCAATCAGATCTGCTCTTTCCTCCTGTTCTTTGAGAACTTCATCAGCCATCTCCGCAAAGTAACTTAGATTGTTTCTGGATTCATCCTTTAACATAAACAACAATAATTCATTAACTCAACCAAATATATAAAATCTTTAATTAATTAAACCTCTATTTATTATTGGTACTTTTGGGGCAGGGCAAGCTTATTAGAGAGCAGGGCTTAACTAGCGGTTGATTGAGAAAGTGGAGCGAATAGAATTATTTGAATCATTAAAATATATGAAAATGAACATGTCATTTAAACATTAAGCTTTACCAAGCTTTGTAAAGCACCAACCATCATAAATTTATAAAATTATGTGGGAGTTAGTAATTAAATTGTAATTGCTATATATTGTATTTGAAATGCACTTCTTGTCTTTGATATAATAATTTTGCTTTTTAGCTTTATCTGCATGGAATGATCACATAATTGTCATCCAGTAAATTCCACAAGGAAGCAGCATGTTTAAAGTTCATGTTCATTAACTTCATTGTTGTAGTTCTGGCTTCAGTGATATCAAGATCTCCAGTTCTTCTGATATTGCAATTATATACCTGACTGTTCATCTCAGACAAGGCACCTTGGCTTGATGCATCAATGTTCTGGACATTCTCTAGAGGACCAACTACAGCTGTTGTACATGGTAGGCTATCAGCCACACCATTGCCCAGGTTGGCTATATAAATAGATAATTTATTAAAAACACCTCATAATTGCAGAAATCTAATTTAAAGGTGATCTACAGTCCGTATGTAAACAAAGCCTTTGTTTACATTTTTGTGTCCAAAATATTGAGCTTTATTCGACAACTATTTATATTTTCAAGCTTCTAGAGTATAATAAATGATCAAGAAACAACAATCAGGCTTTTCAAGAACTCAAAACATAGTTAAACTGTTTATATCATAAAAAGTGGGCTCATTTGTGCACATGCGCAGATCGGACTGTAGATCACCTTTAAGCTTTTTATATTGCTATACTTAGCAGCATCCTCTACTCCTCACCATGTTGTTTCCCCCACAAAGACTGTAGTTTTTCTTTCACTTCTTTCTCATGTTTACTATTCCTGATGTTATCTGGGATCTCCTCTGTATATGCTAAAGGACCAATATATCCTGGCATGACTTTAAAATGATTAATCAAGATTATGAATTCCTGCAAAAATAACATTTTTAACATTGGTCAAAACAACCAAATCTGCAATTATATCATAAATAGAGCAGCTAGTGCAGTCTACCAAATCCCAACAAAATACACAGGTTTGTAACCTCCAGTGTAAAAATTTGATGGATTCCAACCAGGGAAACTGCTGACCATGTATGGATCTACCAAAGTGCACTTTCCCCACATTATAGAGTTTGCAGGAATTTAATTAAACATGCAGTCACAGGATATTTTTAGGGTGAAGACAGTTAACAGTCAATGCAAGATTATATGCATGGCCTTATGGCCAAACTCATGGTTGACAAGAATCATTCCTCAGCCCTCATAATTAGGGGTGCACCGGATTTGGAATTTTCCGGAACCGGATTTGGACAAAAATTCTGGCCGGAATTTGAGATAAACCGGTAATCAACAGGTAATGGGGACAATTGGGGATAAATTGTGATAATTCAGTATTCAAAATGGCAGTTTATGTTTTTTATTATTTTTAGTTAGTTTAGATTTTTGATTGTGTTTAAACCTTTTTTAAATATCTTTTTGTTAATAACTTAATTTTTTATAATAATATAAATGTTTTTTAAACTTTAAAGCTGCCAAATTGAAATTTAAATCCGGCCGGATTTTCTCCAAATCCGGCCGGATGTCGGAAAATTCATTAAATCCGGCTGGATTTGAAATCCGGTGCACCCCTACTCATAATTGGCTATTTTTGCATCGGCAAAATTGGGGATCTTTTGTCGAGCTGATAAGAATATTCTCAGTAATTGAGCTCAAACCTGTCAGACCTTAATAGGCTACATTCTCATCCCCAGAGCCATTTTCACTTGGTCACTCATTGAAAATTATAGGCCTTTGGGTTAGACGACTGAAGGGAGAGATCAGATTGGCTTCTCAGAAAACTGTTTAGTTTAACCCACTGCATGAGTACCAGTGCTCTCCAATGCTAGTTTTGCTTGCAAAATGAAGAAAAAAAACGAAACAATAAGGGTTGGGTTTAGAAGTGGGGTTAGTGTTAGGGTCATTTCCCGACAAAATGTGTACTTTACGAGCCCATTGTATTTATCAGTTGGACCCGTTTGCAGAACGTGGCACATTTCGACAAGATCTTGGGTGTGCTGAACTGGATTTCTGAGGTGCAGGTGCGTTTGAAATCAACAGGTGCGCACCTGAAAAGTTGTAAAAATCACCCCAAGCGTGACTTTCTTACTGCCCAAGTGCAGAATCAATCTACTTTCTGTCTTACAACACTACAAATATGAAATGTTAAAACATCTGTTAATCTCTGTCTTCCTACAACTTGATTTCTCCAACTTCATATGTCATTTGTTGTGTCTAGGTACGTACAAATAAAATTTTTAATTTGTCTCACTCAACCGAAGCACTGAGGTCAGGTGCGCTATATTTTGAAAGAGAATTTGCCCTCGGGTGTGCTTCTGCCACGTCCTGCAAAATGGCAGCTGGACAGAGACACACTGATATCCAATAAACTGCAGTTGTACCAAATATTTTCCACCCTCAGTGTTCTTAAAAAATTTCCCAACCTGTTCACTGAATTGTGGAACAACTTTATAGTCCGTAAGAACAACGGCCCCTCCTAATATATCTGTAAAACGCTTAAAAATATGTCCATGTGCTTTGTCCTCGAGACATTCTACCACTGCTTCTTCGCTAAATACGACATTAATTTTATAAACATTGTCCGTAATTTCTCCAGAATGTGTGCCATCTCGGTTCTTTTGAAGATCCAACCATGTCACTCGTGCCTTTGCTTTCTTTGGAACTGGATTTTCTAGATTTCCTGACAGCAAAACAGTTTGTATCCATGGCCGTCTGATAAATTTTCGACCCGTTAACTTTTTCGAAGGCATTTCTGTCATTAGTGATGGTATATTAATTAAACTACATGTTTAATTACAGGTATTAAAATAACATTTTCATGCAAGAAAGAAAACACGTGCACAATGAAAACATTCAGGATGATAAATCACATCCTTCAAACGGCAATCGGTCTTATTTTTCAACCCTGCTCGGTTTCCTTTGTTCTTATCGGGGAATATATTCAATCTCTGGCAATATGGCATTAAGAATTATTTCTATTCTGACTCATTAACGCGACCTCGCAATGTGAAAAATAAGTACGTTATTTTGAGGCCCCTCGTTGCCTCAAAATAACTATATACATATTCATAGATATCTCATATGAGATATCTATGGTCATATTCCATTCAGAGCCCATGCAAAGCGTTCGAACCACAATATCCCTCTCTTGGATTATCGCTTGGAGTTGAAGGGTTTTTACAGTAAAGAAAAATTTAGAACTGCACACACAGGGATATGCATTATGCAGTGCTCTGACCTTAGTAACTTCGTTACAAGTAACTAGTTACATGTAGTTACATATTTGAGTAACGGCAGACATTCCAACTCTCCCGATTTTACAGGGAGTCTCCAGAAAATTCAGGCAATCTCCTGGTCTCCCGATTTTTATCAAATTCTCCCAATTTTTTTAAAATATTCAGGAAATATCGTAAAAAAATCATAGATGTACTCAGTGTTTTTAGCAACATAATAGTCTGTCTTGACCTTTTTATGAAGTTACTTTATGGCAATTTACAGGTTCACTTATAACAACATATTCCCAAAATGCAGGAAACGCCATTTCAGAAGACTTATAATTTTTGTTATTTTTTCCAATGAGAACTAGATTCAGTTCAATTCACTGAATAATCTCCCTAAATTTTACCTCACAGTAACTAGTTACTTTTTTGGGAAGGTAACCTGTAAGTTGTAACTAGTGTAATTAGTTACAAAAATTGAAAAAAGCAACGGTATTAACTAATTCTGGCCTCGAAAGAGGCCATTTATCCCAAACAGTTTTGGCCACAGAGTTGTCGCTCAATTTTGCACCCTTCGAATATTTTTCATTATGCCGTTGTTGTGCCAGTGGCGTAACTACTATGGGCTCAGACCGGGTGAACCCGGTGTCAAGCGAAATACCTGACCTCTGCGAAATTCCTGACCAAGCGTGACGGCTCATGTATTTCGCGCGTGTAGGCGGGAAATACATGACGCTTGCGAAATACCTGACTCGATGAAAACCTCAATCAAAACCACTTTTCTTGGCTTACATCTCGGTTTATATCGTGTTTAATGCTATAATAATGTATTGTATCGAATACCGAAGCTAGAATCAATTTGATATTTCTGATATTACTGAACAATCGGGAATATATGTTTTTTATCGATTATACTTTATATAGACTATAGTCAATAAACAATCTGCGACTTCACGGGAAATGAATAATAAATAAATAGAATTAATATATTTTGCATATAGTCTATAGAATATATTTACAAAGAAAAAGTTGATTATTATACTAGTATAACGCGTTTTACGCGTGTTAGGCCTACCTATGTAGGTATCTTTGGATATCATGTTGGACTTTATTGTAAGGTATGACTCTAGTTTTAAGCTGCGTTTTTATAAGGAAAAGTTTAAATATTTTTAAATCAGTTTTGACTGTCCAGTAAATTATTTGAACTACAAATGCACAATGTCAATGACATTGAATCATTCATACAACCATAAATCATAATATGGAGATATTTCAACATATGCACAATATACGCACAGTATACGCACCACCAACTAGTTAAATTAGATAGAAACGACTCAACGAGTTATAGGCCGTGGGCTGTTATGCGAAAAAGTGCCTAGAAAAGCAATTTCGTGGCACCCTCCTGGGAAATAGATTTTCTGTGGTTCACTGATTAATAGAACCATAGATGCTTAATACAAGTCCGCGAAATACACGACGTTTGCTAAATACAATCGGTCGAAACGATTTTTAAGTCCATATGCGATGTTAATACCACAAATGTTTCTAATATAGACATCGCCAAATCTAAACGGCCAACTCGGCAACTCACGAACTCATTGTTGCTGTTTGCTACTGAAATCGTGACAATTGAGAAGGTCAAACCTAACCGTGGTCAAACGCGAAACAAATTTTGGTGCTTATAGTAATGCTTTATAAATACACGTGTTGTCTGTTGAGTTGCGAAATTTATGAGCCAAAGTCATTCATGCACATCGTCTGCGCATGGGCAGTTCTACAATAGTCAGATATTTCGCAAGTCAGGAATTTCGCGTCACACCGGGGGCCCCCAACCCAAATGGGGCCCCCCAGGCTTAGGCGATAGGGCAAAAACATTGGCCAGGGCCTCTGATATGTTACAATGTCGTTTTATGACCATCAGAATTCTGTAAAATCTCTCCCCAAAGTCCGGGAAATGGCATTTCAGAGAGTCTAGATTCAAAAATTTTCCGGAAAACTCGTGCATATACGGCGCTCAACTCGTGCATTCGGCATTTCTACTATGGGGGGAGGGCCTTCGAAAATTTTGAACCGGGGGCCCCCTGATATAACGTTACGCCACTGTATACTGTTAAATGTAAACTATATATATATATATATATATATATATATATATATATATATATATATATATATATATATATATATATATATATATATATATATATAGTGAAATTTTGGCAAAATCCCAGTCCCAGTTGGATTTTTATTAGAAATCCCAGTCCGAGTTATTGAAATCCCAGTCAATAAAAAAACGTTATTTTTCTGTAGAATAAACAGTTTCAAGACCTTTTAAGCCACTGTGTGTGCGCACCGTGTGGCAAAGCGGTTGTGCTTTGCCTTTGAGGTATATACTAAGGGTTAAATGAAGTATATACCGGAAACCAGGCATATATTCCGCTGTGCATCTGAATTGGGGACACGCATAATCAGAAAACCCAGAATTCCAGGCGCCAGAGTATGCTTGTTCGCAGGTAGTGCTGTGAATAATGTAGTTAACAACAAAAATCATGACCAAAGACACCAAAAACGGATCAAAATTGTATTTTAAAATACTTAAAACATGGAAAAATTGGGAATCGACTCGAAATAACCTCAATCCCATTCCCATTTTTGAGAACTTAATTTCCCATTCCCAGTGGCCAAATCCCAGTCCCAGCAACCCAAATCCCATTTTTCCAGTCTAAAATAGATCAATCCCAGTTCCCATTTTACCCCTTCAGGACCCTCATCAAAGAAATAAAAATCAACCACAGGGGGCCCCACTATGAGTTATGATTGAAATAATATTGTATTTATTTTTAAAAACCTACTTGAATCCCTTGATAATCGATTATTTCTTC